CTTTGACTAATCTAGCCTTTGACTGACCTAGCCTTTGACTGACCTAACCTTTGACTGACCTAGCCTTTGACTGACCTAGCCTTTGAGTGACCTAGCCTTTGACTAACTTAGCTTTGACTAACCTAGCCTTTGACTAACCTAGCCTTTGACTGAGGCTCCAGCTTACATAATCTACAAGTGACCCATCATGTGATGGACCTAGCTCTTGACTGGCCTAGCATGTCACTAACCTATCCTATAGCTAGCTCTTCTAGCCTAATGACTGACCTTGCCTGTGATTGAGCTCGCTTAGACATGTGCGCAGTGCGAGTGAGTCGACTCGAGTCGGGTTAGTCCTGACTTGAGTCAACTTGCGGGTTGAGGTGGACTCGACCTGGTAATGTGCGCATGTAGGTCAAAATTCCTCGTAGTTTAGTTGCTAGGAAGACATTCGGCAAGAATCACTACAAGCTGAAGCCGATTGCTTGGCCATTCTAAGATAGTACGAACAACATAAAACTAATTGTTAGATGATAGGAAGAAACAACGTAAGGCAGGTTGCTTGACGGTACTAATGGAAATGCGAGCTGGCACAGCTTCTAATAGAGCTCCCACCTCAATCTTGTGGTGCTTGGATGCAGATTCGCTCACTGCTTGTGTCTCGCTCGTCTTGGACGTAGATTTGAACTAGCTTAGACCCGAGCACTGATTGGGACCAGAGATAATCCCCTCATTTTTGGGTGCCTTGTTCTGCTAACACGAGGTGTTATGCGAGTATTACTTGCATCTAGCACTTTTCCTCCTCTGCCTCACTGTGTGGGTCAGATTTTATTGCTCAGGACGAGGCAGGCGACACTCTCATTGCACCCGACATTCTTGCCAAAACCCACCCCACATCACCGGAATATGAACCCCTCCCACCCATGTCTGGAGACCCACACTCTGCCCCACCTGTGTATCACCCTGAGAAGCCAACCCACTTCATCCGAACACGTCCTCCTCTGGCAAATCGCGCAGGGGGTCAATCACCAGGAAAGCTTACTCGCAGGTGACTCTTCCCCCACCCTTTTCTGACGAATAATGAGCGACCATTTGTCTATTCGACAAGCATTACTCGCCTCGCTTCAGTCAAGTATTCTTGATAAGACGATGCCTACATGGTTGAGTAATACGGTTGAGGCGAGGCCTTAGTCTCAACCGCTTTGAGTAAAAGAAGGATATAGTCAGCTTTCACTCCACCGCTTGCTCATGTCTATTTTGGACTGGATGGCGCTCTTGTTCCTTCTTTTCATGCGTGAGTCCCTGTTCACCTCCATCTGTCCACCTCCACCCAATTTTGACATGCCACACTGCCATCCTCTTCTGTGGTAAGCAAAGAAGACTCTGGCTGACCTCAAGCAGCACAAATGGTTGTAGATGGGGAGTCAAACGAGTTAGCTGAAGCAGTGAAAGGGCTGTTTTCATTGGTGAGAGGGGAGTTTTCATTGATGTTGGAGAAGAGAAATGAAGGTTTGGGGAATGAGTTGAGGCTTGCACTGAGTATTGTGGGCGAGAGGAGTGAGCTGGCAACATTGAAGGAAAGTTGGCTGCAGTGAAGAGGGAATTGGCAACAGCAAAAGGAGAGTTGGGTGAGCACAAGCATTCAAGTACATCGCAGCTGGAGGAGGCTGAGAGGAGACGAGTGGCGGAGATGAGGGAGATGAGAGGGCAGGTGGAGGAGAGGGAGAGAGAGCTGGCAGCAGAGTTGGCGGCAGTGAAGACAAAGCTGACTGAATACACAGACGCTATTGCCGAGCAGATGGATTTGGCTGAGAGAAAAAGGGAAAACAAGTTGAGAGAGCTGAGGGAGCAGGTTAGAAAGGGAGAGGATAAAATGAGGGCAGAGTTGTCAAGGGAGAGGGAGGAGAGGAGGAGGGAGGTGCAGGAGTTGATATGGCCATGTGCCATGGAGGACTTGGCAGCCTGCAAGGCTTGGGTGAATGTTGAGCTGGAGATTATCGAGAGTAAAGGCCCTCAGAAGACTGTATGGGAGGTGAGTGTCGAGCGAACTGTTTTTAGTGTGTTAATCGTTTGGTATTGTAATAATGCATTTATTGGGCGCGTGCCGTAACTGGCAATCTGCAAGGAGTGGCAGCTCATGAATCAGTTTTCTTGGCAGGTGAATGCTGAGTTAATCGGTTTCAGAAGATACGGTATGCATTGTTTGGCAAGCCATGCGTTGTTCTTTTGTTCCAAGGCTGCCTGAGAAAAAGCCCAAAACTTCATAGCTGCGTGTAGCATCCTGCGCCTGATGATCGCGTCTGGCCACTTAATGCTTTTTTGGTCGTGCATCTATTCCAACTTGGGCTGTTACATGCATGGCCATTCCTCTTGCCCTCTTCATCCATCACCTCCGGCGAATCAAGGCAACATCACAAGGAACCAAGCTGAGCCTGACGGATCTCCACGGCCTCTTAGACACCATGCTCGCCCATGTGTCCACAATGACCCATCTGAAGAGCATTGACTTGGACTCTAGCTCAGGTTTCAGTGCAGAGGGCATCAAGCACCTCTACAAGCTGCCACGGCTGGAGACGCTAGATCTTAATAACACAGACCTCTGTGACAGTGCCTTGGAAGGCATTGCGGCTATTGTTGCCATTGTCGGGCTAAAGCCCTTTTATCTCCATTGTACCAAGGTGACAAACGCGGGTCTGCTGCACTTTGCACACTTTTCCTCTCTTAAACTTTTGAGGCTCTCTGAGTGCAAGGGTGTGACAAATGCTGGCATGGTGCATGTGGGGAGGCTGATAGGGATAGAGAAACTTTGGCTGCATGGCATAGCAGTCACGGATGATGGGCTGCAGAAGCTGACTGCCCTGACCAAGCTGAGAACTCTCCAACTGCCGAATGGGAATATGGTCAACGATGAGGATGTGTGGAAGTGGATAGGCAGATAGGGTGGGAGAGAGTGATGGAGGGGGAGGGGAGGGGGAGGGGAGGGGGGAGTGGGGGGTTTACAGCATTAGGGCAGAGTTAAGAGTGACTGCTTGGGTGATACTGGAAGAGGCGTGGAGGCAAGGGTTGTGGAGAATGAGGGGAGAACATGGAGGAGTGTCCAAGCTGGTTTAAAATGGCATTTTCTTTGTACAGCTAGAGTGGCCTACATTTGGGTCGTGTATAAAGGGGAGTGTAGTAGGGATGTATGCATGCGTGTTGTGCTAGGAAGGAGGCATGAAAGTGATGGCAGCTCCTTGCTCAAAGGGTGCTGGTAGGTTTAAAATATACTCCATTATGATTGGTTCCTGAGTAACTAACAAAATTATTTATCACCTAACTATCAAAGCAATGACTACAAGAGCATTTGACACTACCTATGTATACATATTGTACAATCTAACTAAGGATATATTCATCACACCATAAAGCTAGCAAGCACAAGGATGCAATGACATTCAGGGCTTCATTTCAGATAGGGTTTGTCGTAAAGCATTACGCATGTGATGGAATTGGAGACAGACAGGGTTGAATCATAAGGAAGTGGGGCCATCTATGTATAGGAAATGTTTAGAGGACATGCATGCTTCCATTCCATCACACTCATCCTTCCCCGTTGGTATTCTAAGGCGGCGCACGGCAACATAGGTAAAGGGAATGATGCTCCAAAAGAGATGGAACTGAATGTTTTGCTGGACATGAAGACTTGCACCTTGTGAACATCTCATCTCAGTGTGTGTTGCACATGAAGTGATGCTTACAGCTTGCCCTCCTAGCCTCTGAGGCTGTGTGTCACCACAACTCAGCACTGAATTATCTTACCTGCTGAAGGAAGAGGCAATTGCAGTAGTGCCCCTTCACTGTATCCCTACACTCCACCTGTAAGTACATTCTGCTGTGTGGCACCCTCACTGTGTCCCTCTGAGCTCAAGAGGATCATTATGGGAGTAAGTGCTGGGAAGGGATGAGTAAAGAGCAAAGATGAGAGTGCGAGGAACTCATGGTGTGGGAGCAGCAGAATGATGAGTGAGTAGTGGAATGCGTAGTATGGAATGAGGTATGCAATAAGGTATGCCATGTTCCATATGGTGAGGCATAATCCACAGCAGGTCTACAGACGTACCATTGCGCCATAAGGAGCCCATAAAGAGGAAAGCGGGACGAGGCAGCAAGAGATGCAGGGTGACAAGGGCTGGAGAAACATCTTGGGGGTGTTACAAAAGGTAAAAGGCAAGACAACAGGCAGAAAGGAGGAGGTGAAAGTCATGTATGGAGAAGTCATCTTTGGTGTGACAAGGAGGTGAGAAGGGCTAGAAACACAGGGATTATGCCGGTACAGGGTGAAGGGCAGAGATCAGTGAGAGGCAGGCATGAGAGAAGGGCATTCAAATCTGATTCAGAAACAACACCATGGGAGTTTGGGATGAGCCGAGGGATGAGATGTGCTGACAAGGCTGTCCTACGAATATATTTTCCTGCTAAAGCAGGCAATCTTACCACTAATGATCGTTCCCACTCCAGCCTTCAAACTTCCAGGCAACGCAACACGTGCCTCCAAGCATCACCTCCCTTGGATCACCCTCTAAGTTTAAAATAATTCACTGGGGCTGAGGGAAGGGCAGGCATGAATAAGGGATGGCACTGATGATACGTGAAAGTGAAAACAATCTAGAAAGAACAGATTGATAAGATGCACATCGTGGGATGAGCTATGAAAAGGAATCCGCGTGCGAATCTATTGCATCACTCCTGTTGAAACGCACAAGCATGGCTGTTCCTAAAAAATGATCGTCATATGTTGTGGACCTACCCACTAGTTTGAATTCCTACTTGCCGCTACTGTAGCCATACCTGTTCTACCCCTGCGCATCTCTGCTCCAGCCCCAGCTCCTTCCAGGACATGCCATTATGGCGAGGGCATGGCGCTGCTAGGTGCAGCAGAGGGGAGATTGAGAGCGAGAGTGGGGAGGCAAATATTTTGGCCGAACAGGACGGGAGTGGGCCATGGGGACGGGGGAGAAGGTGGGGGACTGGGTGACAGCACATCAGTGTAGGTGATGTGGAAGAGAGGGAAGGATGCTGCCTGGAGATGCGATGACAACAGTGCTGCTGCTTGCCTGGTATGGTGTGGGAGCAGACGAGAGGGTGATGGCGGGCAGAGGAGGAGGACCTGAGGTGGAGGGAGAAAGTTGGTTCATACACTGGACGGATGAAAGCATTTGAGATGAGGTGAGGTGATGGGCATAGCACGGCAGTGTTGAAAGAATGAGCAGCTGACGGTTGGAGAGGGTAGGATGGATGGACGGGGCACTATTGGTGGAGGTGAGTGGGGTGGGAGGAGGTGAGTGGGGTGGAAGGAGATGATTGGGGTGGGAGGAGGTGAGTGGTTTGGGAGGAGATGAGTGGGGTGGGAGGAGATGATTGGGGTGGGAGGAGGTGAGTGGGGTGGAAGGAGTTGAGTGGGGTGGGAGGAGGTGAGTGCGGTGGGAGGAGATGAGTGGGGTGGGAGGAGATGAGTGGGGTGGGAGGAGGTGAGTGGGGTGGGAGGAGATGAGTGGAATGGGAGGAGGTGAGTGGGGTGGGAGGAGGTGAGTGGGGTGGGAGGAGATAAGTGGAATGGGAGGAGGTGAGTGGGGTGGGAGGAGGTGAGTAGGGTGGGAGGAGGTGAGTGGGGTGGGAGGAGGTGAGTGGGGTGGGAGGAGGTGAGTGGGGTGGGAGGAGGTGAGTGCGGTGGGGAAGATTGTGAATGGTGCAAGAGGCACAGAGATTATTTCATTGTGGTAGCTTATAAGGAGGAAATTTGACAATAATTTTGGACGAGGAGACTCGCCAGGGGCTTTTGACGAGGGACTATGACAAGAAATCTTTGAAATGCAAATGATGGACGTCGCTGTATGTGTTGGCTTGCCCGTCTTGATTCACACGGGGAAGTGCACTCTGTTGCACCCCTTCCCTGCCATGATGCGCTAGGAAGTGGTGCAACGAAGGGCAGGAGTGGAGGGAAGGGGGGATAAAGGGAGGGGAAGCAACGAGCATGCAGTAGAGAAGGAAGGGTGGAGAGAGCTGCAGTGCACACCATAGCACCCTGCCATGATGCGCTGGAAGAGGTGGAAAGGTGTGGGATTTCGGGTGGTGGAATGGAGGGTAGAGAAGGAGGAAGAGGCAATGAGGAATGCAATGAGGGAGGGAAATGGGGTAGGGCGAGGGGAGGAGCATGCTGTAGCGCACTTCCTTGATGGGTTGGAAGAGCTGGAAAGGTGTGGGTTGTTGGAAGGGGATTGAGGTATGCAGGGGAGGGAGGGAGGAACGAGCATGGGCAAGCAAGGTGGAGTGGAGAGATATTTAGGCCATAGAATCCTATGTTAATGGGGCGGAAGAGGTGGGGAGGGCGGGAGTGGGTTTGCGATTAATGGTAGAAAGGGAGGAACAAAAGTATGGATCTCTTGTCTCCTAGTTCCTGTTTCGTAGCTCGTGCTGTGTGCAACTAAGGGAGTTGGAAACATGTGGGGGCAGGGAGGGCAGAGACCTGCCAGAGCTGTTTACCACCAACTATTGCTGTGAGGGCCGAGGCCAAGGCAAGGTCGGTGTGGGTAGATGATGGGACGATAGGTGATGGGTTGATGAAATTATGGGGTAATGGGTCATGGGGTGATGGTTTTTTGAGATAATTGGGTGGTGGAATCATGGTGTCATGGAGCGATGATATCAATCAAATGACTTCCCCATACTGAAAGGGCCAAAATGAGAGACATCGCCAATGGAAGCTGAGAAAGTTGAAACGAGAATGATTGCACTAAGGAATGAAAGTGGTACAAATATGCAACCCTAGAGATGTGTACCCCATATGGGCTGCCTCACTACAGCCTACACAATATTATGATTTGACACACCCCCATAAGCAAAGTGGGGGAGAACAAGGGGTCACAAGACCAGTCAAGATAAGCAAAGCAAAGCTCAGGGTGGATCACAAAGTCACCACACATTCCGAGCACAAGTTCAAGGCCAGAAGGCCAGGTCATATGCAGGAGCACACATATATATACAAGGTGAAACAAGCAAGAGCAGGAGTATATATATGGGACAGTACAAGCAAGGTCAAGAGGTGAGCAAGTGAGGCAAGACACGCACAAGACCAAGCTGAGTACAGAAGCGCTGATGATCACAAGGCGCAAGTGCCTTAGTGAAGATATCAGCAATGTTGGCCTCTGAGGCCACGTACGCAAGTCGCAACTAACCACGCTGCTGCAGCTCACAAGCAAGAAAGTAGCGGAGAGCAATGTGCTTCCTTTTGTGCTCCAGGAGCTGCTCCCGACACAAGGCCAGCATGGCCTTGTTGTCTACGTACAGCACTGGAGGAGAATGAGCGGCTCTCCAAGGTCAATCAGCAGGTAGGTGAGCCAGCGAAGCTCCTGAGCAGCCATGGCTCCAGTGTAGATCTCAGCCTCACAACTGGAGCCGAGAACGGAAGACGAGCGAGTAGCCCGCCACGAAACAAAGCCGGAACCAAGGCTGAAGGTGTAACCCTGTGACGACCGCTGTGTAGCCTGGTCATCAGCCCACGAAGCATCTGCGTGTCCAGTGAGGACCACTCGACGTCGCCCTCCAAGCACTAGCCCCATGCCCAACGTACTGCACAAGTAGCGCAACACCCTCTTCGCTGCAGCCATGTGCTCCGGTCTGTGTCTCCCATGAGCAAGATAACGTGCAAGAATGGTAAGAGGGTATGCAAGGTCAGGTCGTGTGCAGGTCATCAGGTACATGAGGCAGCCAACAAGCTCTGGGTACAGGCCACTCGACTCTACGGACTCATCCGAAGGTAGAGCTGAGAGCGAGTGGCGAGTAGACAGAGGAGTGGCCTGGGGCGAGGAGTACGTGAAGCCGAAGCGCTGAAGGACCTGCTGCACCATGTGTGACTGAGTCAGGGTAATGGTGCGGCGTGTTCTTTCCCGGGTGATCTCCAAGCCAAGGTAGCTGCGCAGTTCACCCAGGTCTGTGCACGTGTGTCTCTTCTGCAGCTCGGACTTTACGTGGACGAGTCCAGCAGTGTCAGCCGTGGCAAAGACCAAGTCGTCGACGTACATGAGGATGTAGAACGGCGGCAAAGAGGAGTCGGTGCGTAGAAACAGCGACGGGTCGGCAGTACAGGGAGCAAACCCAAGAGCCGCAAGTGTAGTCCTCAGTGTGTCGTGCCACTCACGCGGCGCCTGGCGGAGACCGTAGACTGGCCGTCGGAGGCTCCACTGGGTGCCAGGAGGAAAATTCCTAGTGAAGCCAAGTGGACGGCGTAGCCAGATCTCCTTGTGCAGGCTACCCTGCAAGAAAGCAGTGCTGAAGTCAAGGGAGTGAAGCTCGTAGTCACGCAGAGCGTCTATGTGCAGCAGCACGTGAAGAGTGGTCATCTTCAGGGTGGGAGAGAAGGTCTGAAAGTAGTCAACTCCCTGCCGCTGACTGAAGCCACGAGCCACGTACCGCGCCTTGAAGACAGGTGAAGAACCCGGCGGCCGCTTCACCCTGAAGATCCACATGCCACTGACGATGCTCGCCCTAGGTGGGGGAACCGCATCAATGTAGGTGCCAGTGGACTTCCAGAAAGCCATCTCTGGATCCATAGGTGCCTGCCACTGAGAGGAGTAGGGACCCTCTACGGCCTCCACGTAAGAGCGCGGAGTCGGGATGTCAAATGCATCCGGGTCTCCCTCAGGGGCAAGGAGTACGGATACGAGATGAGGTGAAGCAGCAGCCAGACACTGGAACTCCTCATGCCTGTCCTCAAGGACGTCCGTGCCAAGAGCACACTCACCCCCGACGGACGGAGGACAGACAGACGCAGACTCGGCAACAAGACTAGCAGCGCAGTCTAGACGACAGCCAACAGCAAAGTCGACGAGCTCAGCAACAAGAGCAGACGCAGCAGTGGGCTTAAAGGAGGGGTCTGTGACGACAGTAGCAAGGAGACGCGTGACAATAGGACTGGCAACACGAAGAAAGTCCGACTCCGGGTCGGCAAGTGCAGGAAGAGATGACTCAGGAGGAGAAGGCAAATGGGCACGCACAGGAGCAGTGGACGGACGCAGAGACATCCGGTGCGTGCCTGGGACAGGAGGAGGACGCTGACGCGAACCGTGACCACTAGCGCGAGCAGCACGAACATGCGACGCAGGACGAGACGCAAGCTCACGCACTCAGCAAGACCTCCTGTAGGACCAGTGTACGGAGAAGGAGCAGGTAGTGGGGAGGCCGGCGGTAACTGGGACTGTGAGTGGACAGGCGACGGACACTCTAAGAGAGGAGGAAGACCAAGAACCTGCTGAAGGAGCAGAACGAAGTATGGCCGAGGCCGCGCGGGGACTCCAGACACAGCACGGACAGCACCAGCACCCTCAGCGGAAGCACCAGCGCCAACAGCACCTCCAGCAGCACCAACAGCACTTGCAGCAGGACCGCTGCCAGGACTGACAGCAGGAGCCTCAGCGCCAAAACCCACAGTAGCTCCAGCTTCAATCGTACCCGCAGGCCCAGCAGCTCCAGCATTCCCAGGACAAGCACCTCCGGGAGCGGCGGCACCAGCACCCTCAGCAGCCGACAAAGCTCCAGCTCCAGCAGTATGCATCCAGCGCAGGGCAAACCACTCGCGCAGCTCCTGTAGAGAGAGTGGCTCCCGCTGAGACCAAGCACCCGGAGAACCTCCAGGCCCAGCAGCTCCAGACGCGGCACCCCCAGGCTCAGCAGCTCTAGACGTGGCACCCCAAGGCTCAGCAGCTCCTGATGTAGCACCCCTCGGCTCAGCACCCCCAGCCTCAGCACCCCCAGTCTCAGTACCCCTAGTCGCAGCACCTCCAGGCTCAGCACCCCCAGGCTCAGCACCCCCAGGCGCAGCACTCCCAGAGTCAGCACCCCCATGCTTAGCACCTGCAGCAGTACCAGAGTCACCAACAACCTCGACCGGCTTGAGTGCATCTACCTGGGACACACCTGAAGGGGCAGGACCCTGAGGGAGGAGGGGGTCTACCGGGGGGGGACCTGGTACAACTCTCCGCCTCGGTCAAAGTGCAGACGCATAACAGGAAAGTCCGAGCCGAAGCTCCTCCTGAGCTGGAGACGAGCTGTGTGGATCCAGTCGATCAACAGCTCAGTGACATCGCCCTTGCTGCGCAAGGGGAAGACTGTGGTGTAACGCGAGTAGTCGTCAACCACCAGCAGAAAGTAGCGCTCGTGACCCTGTCCACGGACACGGGCTGGGCCCCACACCTCCATGTGAAGCGTTTGCAGCGAGGCCTCTGTCGGGGGAAACTTAGAGGAGTGAGGGGCAGCCCGTAGCCGCCCCTGGACACAGGGGACGCAGGAAGGACCAGGCCCCAGAGGAAGGGGAGGGAGGGACCGGGGAAGACCAGAGACAAGGACACGGGAAGCCATGCCTCGGAGACGAGGCAGGGAGGGGTGACCAAGACGGTGGTGCAACAGGAGAGTCTCGTGAGACAGGAGGCGACATGAGCAAGGGGCAGACTCAGGACCAGACCTGGACGCTGCAGCAAACACCTGACCCAACGCATCTACCTGGCCAGACGCAAGGACAGGAGGAGACTCAGTGGTCAGGGTGTACAGGCTCAACCCCGGCCGACGCGTAAACTTCGCCAAGTGCCGGCGTGTGCGAGCGTCTGAGTAGTGGGTCACCTGCTGACTCGCAGGAGTAAACCGGTGAATCCCCGCATCTTGGACGTCAGCACCACTCACCAAGTTTGTCGAGAACGAGGGGAGGTAAAGACCAGACAAGGTGCCAGAGGGGGCAGCAGGACACGGTAGGACAGTGGAGAAGTGAGAGAGGACAGGACCCCTAGAGGGGTCTGCCAGGGAGACTGCAACCGGCCGACCAAGCGGCGTGAGTGTGGTGCGATCTCGAAAGAAGGAGCGAGAAGCCCCCGAGTCAAGTGTGAAGGTGAGGGAGGCCGAAGCCAACGTGGTACCTGAGAGCGCAAACTCACCAGCACCTGAGAGCGCGGACGCACTGGCACTTAGAGGAGCAGCCTCACCAGCACCTAGAGCAGCAGTCTCAATGCCCGGGTCGGGCGAGAAACACCGGTAACAGTCACCCTCATAACTAATATTCACAGCATACATGGCAGCAAAAATAGCATCTAAATCAAGATCAAAGATAGCTACACCTACCCTAGACAGCTCTCCCCAGCGGGGGATCTCAGTGGCCTCCGGGAACAGGTGACGCCAAGCGTCCGTTAGGCGGCCAAAGCAGCGCTGGGTGGGGTGGGCACCCCCACACTGCTCACCCGCGCGGTCGCCGGTGCGAAGGACGTAGGTGCAAGGAGCGAAACCCCCACCACGTTGACGTGCAGCGTACCACTCACGGAGCTACTGAAAGGGAGGGGATGTCCCGAGAACGCTGCTGGTGCTGCTGCTGCTGCTAACACTGACCCCCACCGGAGCCGCTCCGCTGCGAAGCGCCACCCCGACCTGCTCCACCTCCTCCACCACCGCCTCCTCCACCTCCACCACCACCGCCGCCTCCGCTCCCACCTCTACCGCCTCCGCTGCCTCCGCCTCCACTACTGCCACCGACACCTCCACCCCCGCCACCACTCCCACCGCCACCCCCACTCCCTCCGCCGCCTCCACCGCCACCTCCACCACCCCCGCTAGCTCCTTCCGCGCCCTTGCCCCCCTTGCCCTTGCCAGAGCGGCGTCGCCCGCTAAGGCTAGACGCCGCACCGACCGACTCAAGACCAACAAGGTCGGCCGCAGCAGTAGAGGCGACAGAGGGCAAAAGGGGAGAAGGGGAACACCCCTCAAAGATGGGGGTGCGAGGGTCACCACGAGAGGCTCCTACAGCGACTATGCTCTTTCCGCTGCTAGGAGGGCCTTCTCTAGGAGGTCAACAGTGAGAGTGGTGGGACAGACTGAGAGGAAGTGGTCTCTCACTACAGGAAGGGAGTCAGGGAGGCCGGTTACTATGTAATAGAGAGTGATGTACATGGGGGGGGGGGGGGGGGGGGTTTCTTGGCGCAGAACTTAGCAGGAAGCGCAGCGCGGTAGTGAGTGTCACTAGTGCGGAGGTGCGTAATGAGGTCAGCGGCTGTGGGAAAGGCAGCAAGGTCAGGGAAGAGGTACGGTAGCATGAGGCGGCTCAGTGCAGCAGTGGCAGGGGAAGAGTAGCGCGCAACTACAGCATCATACAAGGTCTGAGCACTCTTGTACTGACTAAAGTGCGCGCGCTCAGTGGTAGGCAGGTGGCGATGCACAGCAAGACGTGCAGCAGCATCGCGAGTGGCCCACTGTGAGCGAACAGTGGTGTCGGCATCAGCAGCAGGGGCAGGGGAGGCACCAGAGGTGAGGTCAAAGAGGGAGAGAGCGTTCGCTCTATCGCACTGTAGGAAAAGCTGCAGGTCATCTACCCAGATGTCAAAGTCATTGGCCCGACCCTTAGCGTCAAAAGCGGGGTAGCCATGACTGCAGTACACTAGTAGTGCTAACTGAAGGGCAGTGCAGTGACAGAGACGCTGCTCTTACCAGACAAGGCGGTTTTGGTAGCTTGGCAGCATGGCAGGTCGGCAACACGGCGGCTCGGGCGATGCGGGCGGCTCGGCAGCAACTGCGGCTCGGGTCCTGAGTGGCTCGGGCGGCTCGGGAGGCTCGGGCGGCTCGGGCGGCTCGGGCGGTTCGGGCGGCTCGGGCGGTTTGGGCGGCTCGGGCGGCTCGGGCGGTGTAGTGGTGCGGGCGTCTCGGCTGCGGAGGTCGGCGGGGCCGCCGGTAGAGTGGCGGGGCCAGGCCTTAGGGCGACGGGGCCGAGGCCAGGTCGACGGAAGGGCGATCAAACTAGTTCTCTTCGACTAGTGTGTTGGGCTGAAAAGCCCTTAGGATCTTTGCAGGGGTGAACTCTGGGTAGAGCTGGTGTAGTAGCGGAAGCGTTAATTCAAGGGTTGTAAACCACCTTGCGCTAGTATGTGAGGGCAAAGTAAGTTGATTAAAGCAAAGAGATACAGGATTATATAAGAGTACAAGGAATACGAAGAGATACGGTTATAACTACTTTACTGTTGCTCTTGCGGTTCGATACAGTGACGACTCGGGCAACTGCTCTGTAGCGAGTCTGTTGTGTGTCCTTGCTGTCGTGTTGTACTTGTCAGGTCAAAGGTCGCTGACCTTTGACTTTCGCGTAACCTCCGACAGTTACTTCAACCTTCGAGGGTTGACTCGCTGGTGCTTCGATAGTGTTTTGCTTTGCTTGTGTCTTGGTGTTTCGACACGACAGAGGTGCTTAGGACCGATTGTTTCCAACACTCCCCTTTGCTTCTGGAGTGTCGCTGACGTGGCTCTGTCCAGTCAGCAGCATGCAGTATTCGAACTGCTTTCCGAGCTTCTTGGTCAGGTAGTCAGCTACCATCTCGGACGTGGGATAGTATGACAGCTCGAGCCTTCTCTTCTCGATCTCGTCCTTCACGAAGAAATATTGCAGGGCGATGTGTTTCGTCTTGTTCGCGAAGCCGTTCTTGTTGGCGATGCGAATTGCCGACTGGTTGTCGCAGAATAGGGTAAAGTTGGGTAACTCGACTAACTTCGCTTCTTCCAGCAGCTCGCGAAGATAGAGTCCTTCCTTAGTGGCTGAGCAGAGTGCAATATATTCTGCTTCAACTGACGAGAGAGCAATTTATTCCTCCTTGCTCGATTGCCAGGAGATAGGTCCGATAGGTTCGAGGCGGTGGATGTAGCTGGTGCGGGAGCGCCTGTTGTTGGAGTCACTAGCGTGATCAGCGTCGACGTAGCCGATTAACTTAGTCGGTGTGGTTGCGTTCTTGTAGTAAGTTAGGCCGATCGTTGGGGTGTTGACGAAGTAGTAAAGAGCGCGGTCGAGCTCCGCCAGATGTTCTACTTCAGGCTTCTTGAGGTAGGTGGCGAGCTGGCTTGCGGAGTATGAGAGGTCGGGGCGACAGGTGATGGCTGCGAAGAGAAGACATCCCAGCTTCTTCTGGTAGTCTCGTATGCCGGCGGGCTTAAGTAGAGCGGAGTTTCCTTTGTCGTTCCTTGCCGTGTATTGGTATGGCGTGGAGATGGCTGTCGGTGTGAGCGTGAAGCGTTTGGCGATAGTGTCAGCATATTTCTCGGCGCTGAGGTAGATCGCGTCCTCCTCTTCCCGGATGTTGAGGCCGAGGTACTGAGTGACGGTAGATGAAACCGTGAGCATGAGATCTTGATGCAGCTCCCCTTCGAACCAGGTAGTGATGCTGTCAGTTGAACCGATGTAAAGGAGATCGTCCACGTAGACGATTAGTAGGATGTAGTCGTCATTTTTTGTGAGTCGGTACATGCCTTGATCGTGCGGTAGTTGCTTGAAGCCGATGCGGATGAGGCGAGCGTGCAGGTACTGTTGCCACAGTCGTGGAGCCTGCTTGATGCCGTAGAGTGACTTGAGTAGCTGGCAGACTTGGTTGGGTTCTCTGTGGGAGCCGTGCGGTAGCTCGATGAAAATTTCTGCATCAACAGGTGCGTAGAGAAACGCGTTCGCGACGCTGATTTGTCGCAGCTTCTTCTTCTTCATGGCGGCGATTGCGAGGAGAATGCGTAGTGAGGTGTGGCGGCTAACCGGAGCGAAAGTTTCAGTGAAGTCTCGTCCGTGTTCTCGGTCGAAGCCGCGTACAACCCAGCGAGCTTTAGATTTGTCAATGGTGCCGTCAGCCTTTGTCTTCACACGGAAGACCCACTTCTCGGTGAGCACTGTCTTGTTCCGTACCACGCCGATAGGAACCACTTTCCACGTGTTGCGTTCCTCCAGTGCCTTCAGCTCCTTGTCCAGGGCTTCGCGCCATTTTTCTTTATATTCCCCCCCCTAGAGCCTGTTGAACTGTCGCAGGCTCTTTAGGAGTGGCGGTGCCGTGGACTGGGGTGACGAGTCCGAGAATTTGCAGTCCACTCTGTGAGTAGCGAGGAAGAGTTACGTCCTCGAGATAAGCTGCTTCATCTCCCGCTTCTGGATCAGGTATGAAGTTTGGTCCTACTCGTTCTGCTTTGTTGGTGTTGACTGACGCAGGCATTACGTAACCGTTGTCGGCGAAATAGTAGAAGGTTTCGGCGTTGACACTTTCACGAGGGTTATCTTCGTCCATGGGAACGTCGACGGAGCAGAACGGAAGAGGTCTGGCTTCTTCTGATGCGTTGTCCACATTCTGCTCATCCCAGTCAGCTTCGTCCGCTGCTGAGGCAAAGGCTCGGTCACCGCGAAAACCACCTGTGGGATCCTAGTCTTCTTGCAGGTTGTCAAGGTATGTCTGGAGCGTGAGTCGTTCGTAGAAAATTACATCACGTGCTACTACTGTTTCCTTAGAATGGACGTCGAAGATTTTCCACGCGTTGTAGTTGTTTTCGATTCCCAGGTGTAGTCCCTACTGTGCTCGTTGAGAAAATCGGCCCGCTCGTGCTGGTGGGGGTCGGTACTGTACCATGCATCCGAATACTCGTAACATTTTTGTGCTGCCCACTTTCCGTGTCCATAGCAGATGCGGTGATGCGTTGTTTGGAAGCGATGATGACGAGAGCAAGTTGTGCAGCATGACGGCGTGGTCCATTGCTGCAGGCCACTGGTGGTTGGGTAGCCGCATGCCACGTAACAGTTTGCACATGCTGTTCTGCAAGGTCCTGTATATTCTTTCTGCTACACCTTGCTACTGATGGGCATAAGGAAGGGAGATGAGATGCTTGATTCCCCTTTCCGTCAGGTACTGCTTGAATCGCTGAGAGGTGTATTCTCCTCATCCGTCTGACTGGAAACTTTTCAGTTTCACGCCCGATTCTCTCTCTGCTACTGGTAGCCAGGCAACGAAGGCTTCAAATGCCATGTCGCGGCTTTGGAGGTTTAGGTGCCAATCGTAACGGGTGGCGGCGTCGATGAAGGTGATTGTATAGTTGTATGTTACTTGCCCTGGTTCGTGATTGAACAGGATGTTGCTATACACCTTCTCGAGTGGTGCGTACGCGGGAGCGCTCGGGTTGTGATGAGACGCAAACGGTCCATGTGGTAAGTCACCTTCAGGGCAAGTGAGGCACGTTCCGCGTACTCGTTGAAGTTCTCGTCCGTCGATCAGTAGGAGTGAGTCCTTGTCGAGTACTCCTGCTCTTATCGTATTGTTTAATACTGTGTTGCTTGGGTGTCCCATCCTTGCGTGCCAGGTGCTTTCGTCGGCGCGATGTCTGGGTGATCGTCGGTACATATCGGAGTTGGAGTAGAAGTTGGCGGTGAAGTTGGCGCTACGATGAACTTCTCGTGGTGCTGGGTGTAGTTGTTGCGCGGGTGTCGGTGGTGTGTCGTCGATGAGGAGCGGTGTCGTTGAAGGACCAGCAATTGGTGTTGACGTTCCTGCTGCTGCCGTTGATGGTTCTGCTACTGCCGATGTTGTCTCTGCTGCTGCCGGTGTTGTCTCTGCTGCTGCTGATGTTGTCTCTCCTGCTGTCGATGTTGTCTCTGCTGCTGCTGATGTTGTCTCTGCTGCTGCTGATGTTGTCTGAATTGTTACTGATGCCCTTGTTCTTTCTGCTTCGGGGATGGTGTGTGAATACCAGAAGCCTTCTGGACTGAAGTGTGGATGAAGGTCTGGAGGGTGTGTCCAGTTGGTGAAGTTAACGATGGCGTCGCTGTCGGCGGTGCCAAGATCAGGAACGAATTCAAGAATGAAGACGTTGTTCTTGAGGACCGCCTTGCCGATGTAGAGTCCTCCTCTTCCGTGAGACAACTTGAATTCTTGGGTGGTGCTGTCTGCTTCGAGGTGAATCCCCTTTGCCATTAGCTGACTGACGCTCAGTAAGTTGTAGCCAAATCCCTCCGCGATAAGTACTTTTGACATCTGCAGTATAACGTTTGTTTCCCTTGAGTGAAGTTGAACTACGCCTTGTCGTCGTGTTCCTAGGTTCTGATTGTTGGCGACTGTAATGACAACTTCGCGTTGAAGTTGGTGTTCTCGTTGAACGAAGCGTCTCGAGGAGCACATGTGCTGTCCGCAGCAACTGTCCAAGAACCATGTGTCCTTTCCAGATGGTTCGCTTTGGGCGATGGCGGCGTATGTCGGGTTCGGCCGAAGTGACTCGCGGCGGGGTGTTATTTCATCGAGTTGTTCTTCCGGTGAATGGTGTGGTGGTGACTCGGTGATGCAGGAGTCGCTCAGCTTTGCCATGCAGTTGACTATGTTTCTTGCTCCTTGTGCAGGTTGTCCTGTTGAGGTCTTTGAGGTTTGAATCTGAGTTGTGGGATTTGCTTGCGTTGAGGCGATTTGGCTGCTTGAAGGTCGAAGTTGCCGCTGTGGAGTTCTTGATTGTTGACGATTCGGGCAGTGCGTACGCGGGTGTCCTGAAGTTTTGCAGATGTGACAGAACGGAGGTACTCGCTTCTGTTGTTGCTACCGGTTGTTGATGTTGGTGTAGCGTCGCTGAGTGTGGAACGCAAATTCCGGTGCTGATGTCTTCTTTTTGTGTCGTTCTTCTTGCAGGTCCATGTCTTGCTGCTCGGCGTGGATTTCGGCGCAGAGCGCTGCTTCAGAGATTCTTCCGTTAGCTCGGA